TTTCTGCATCCATTGTCGCAACTCTATTCTGTAAAAATTGGGTAAATTTTTGAAACTCAGCTGCATCTATATATTGAGTCATTTTTATCTTTTTAGCGACAATATCTCAAATACTTAACTAGCTGACTCGTCAGTTGGGATATATCAGTATTTGAGTTAATAGAAAAGTGTTGTACTTACTGTACAATTGAAGTGTCTGTTTTCTCAAGTACCCTTAGGTCGACTTGCCAAACTTTGTCTTTTTCAAGACCCTCGAGAGCCACTGATTCCTTCCTTTAGAAATCTCACACAGCTATCACCAAAATTGTTACGCTGAAATATTTATTCGATGTTAAATTCGCGATGGTTTTCGAATAATTTAAGAATTCGACTTGTTGAATTCTTAACGGAGACAACTTGCAAGCGTGACGGTCAGAGTCGAAAAGAGTTTCGGATGTCGAGGAAGGTACTTTTAAAGGAAATCGGAAGAAGGAGTTCTGGAAAAAGGGCGTTTTTTTATTAAAAAGGAGTTTCTTATTGGTGTTCCCATGGTGCAGTGGGAGATTTCCTAAAATTCCACATCCTTCCGTTAAAGAAGTTTTTTCAGGTAGTAGGGTCTACGGCTTGGCGTAAATATTCTCTAAATATTTTTAATTTTATTTTTAAATTTAATTAATAATTATAAATTAAACTAGGGGTGCCCCGGCCACGCGCTGCTGTGGCTAATAAATATATAGATAGATCTGAATCTACGCACATAACATTTGTCTTCTTTTTCTATTTCTTAATATCGAGCAAACTGCGCATGCGCAGTAACATGAGATCACCACTTACTTCACATCGAATAATTTTACCTTTTAAAGGAAAAATAATTATGGTGGGTCACCCTTATCACTCAGGGGTATAAGAAATATAAGAAAAACTATTCTCGTACCTACCGAATATACACAAAAAATTTCATATAAATCGTGCAAGTCGTTTCGGAGAATATGAATAACAAACACTGTGACAGGGGAATTTTATAGATATAAAAAAAGATAAAACACATGATAATCAATTTATACAATACATTATATAAGTATTAAATAATTATAATATATAATTATAAAATATAAATGATACATAATACAATTGTAAACATTACTCTTTTGAAGTTATAAATAATATTATTATTATTATTTATTATTTTTATTCGATTTAAATTAAGGATAATAAAAAACATGGAACCGAGATAGAATTTGATTCAGTGAAATTGCAATTATAAATTTGTACAGTAGGGATTTGTACAGTAGGAGGGATGCGCCATACGTATTCAGCTCATGTGTCATTAGCTGAAAATTTTGGGGGACCGCTTCCAATCCAAAGCGCAGCCATGTTTATCTTTAGTATGTATTACGAACCTAACCTATAACTTATCGTTTGTTTACAGACTTTTTGTTTGTGATGAATAATCATGGTT